TTGAGGTTCTTAAGTTACGATGGTTAGCTCTTGAAAATGATTTCACTCATCGATTAGAAAATAACAGCAAAGAAATTACAATTTTTAAGTTTAAAAAGTTTAAATATTTTGGTCATCTGGTTTGTTTACAATTACTTAGGATTAAGTCTGACATTTTTGGAGCTTAAAACATTCCTATTTTCTACTTTTTCGCTCTGTTGCAACTAGCTGTAAATAATAAATTTAAATAGCATAATCACACAAAAATGCTATCTATGGGATATTATAAGTATTGGCTGTACAATTTAATTATAACCTCACAAGGTTGTAATGTGGATAGGTGGACCTATGCGTTTCCACGATCCACGTTTTTTCACAACCGAGGGGTGGAAACCCTGTAGATATTCCTACGTGTTATAAGAAAACCCCTGCCAGTCCTCTAAAATACAGTTTTAGCCCAATGTAATGTTTATAATCGATCCATCGATGACCGCAACTAGGAAGCTTCGTTGAATCACGAATGAATCATCGATACAATCGATAAACTCCCACGACCACAATGGAACGGTCAGCTTTAGACCTTGGAAACTGTAGCAAGGAACAATATGACTTCGTGCTTCGGGGTCAGATTGTTAAAATAATAGGTTGATTTTTGTACTTGGGAATTGTTTCAGAGTATCCGGGAGTATTGACTTGTGACCGAGGGTCTATTCTTTTTTTAGATCTCGACTATAGCCTATCGTAAATTGAATAGGTCAAGTGAGATGAGGTAAGGCTATTGTGTAAGAATAAAAGGAAGAAAATGGATAATTCTGAGTTCGTTTTTGCTTTTGTTCTGTGGAAAAACTAAGCTATAAATAAACATCATGCACCTCATTTGACAGTGTATTGTAACCCACAGCTCCTAAAAATTCCGTGCAAATTCCTCAACAGTATCGATATACTTCAACCACTGTCAGATACTTTTGTTACTTTGTTACTTTTTGTACCTTTGTATTGTTACATTTGTTAGATTTTTTTGTTGGTACTTTTGTTAGCCTACCGGTATTGCACTTGTTGTTTCCTTTTTTTCTCGTTGTTGTTATCTCTCGGTTGCATATTGTTAATTTTGTTGTTGTTGTTATGTTTTTGCACTTCATATATTACCTGCTGTTGTTATTTATGCGCTATATTATTTGCTGGTTATGTCTTTTGCATTTTTTGCCTGCTTTTCACTTTCATTCTTATTTATTGCACGTATTTTAGTAGCCTATACCTAATTTGCTATGTTTATGTATGTCATACACTTGAAGTGATTCAGCCTATGTAATGTATTTTTATTTTTCCTTTAAAAATTCTGGTTATGTCTTTTGCATGTCATGCCTGCTTTCTAATTTATTCTTATTATTGCTCATATTTTATTACCTAATTATGATATGTTTATAAATTGATTAATCCTATTTACTGTATATTAGAATGTAAAAAATAGTGTTATCGTTGGAAGAATAAATAAATAAATAAATAAATAGATGCACCATTTTTGTCATATCATTTATCTGTAACAATATAGACTTGATTTTAACTTGATATAGGTGCAAGTAATTCCCATACAATAAAAATTGAGTTTTAAGAAATACCTAAATTTAAGTAAGTACACAATAAAAATTCCTTGTTGGTAAGCTGGATTAGTCAGGAGAACAATGGCACATAACACATTCATTTAGCTATCAAGTTTAAACATTTTATAAATTAGTTTATTTTACAAATAACAACAAAACTCTCTGTTTCTTTATAATGTTTAACGCACATCATTCATTTTCTTTAGCCACCAGAGCTTTGCTGCAATATCCATTGCAGATTTCCCGCATCAGCACTAACAGGAAATATAATATAGGCTATATACAATATATGAACGCACATCGACAAAACTATGCACCTCTAGTTAAGACTTACCACCGTTTTGTAATATTACACATAAATAATTGGCAAGATAACAGTGACTTTCACAGATGTCAGTTTCTAAATGTTTACATTTTTATTGTCATTGAGTAGGATTCGTTTTTGTCAACCATTAGCCAAGGAACAACCAATGTGCTTGGTTTAATACATATGTTTTTAACAAGAAGCAAAGAATTTCATCAATTAAATTGCTAATTATTAAGGTTTATTAAACACAAACATGTTTACTAGCACAGGTTTTATCTACCTTTTGTGCATGAGAAGATGTATGAAAATAGGCATTGCTAATAGGTAGGATTTGTTCTTTTAGAACATTGTACTCTTTTTCTTACCCCTTTTGTCAAAAGATTTTTGAAAAAGTTTACAAATTTTGAATTCATTTTTGATCAGATATTGCAATTTACCCTATGCGCTCTTGAAAATTAATAACCATGATGCATACAAGCTATTGTATACAGGGTGTCCATAAAAAACGTTTCAGGACTTTGGGAAATGAATTCTCATACTAAAATGAAGAAACAAGTTTATGTGAAAGTATGTCCGAAAATTCATATTAACCTGAAGTTATCCACCATTTTGTTTTTTATACAAAAATATTTTTATCTGTTAAGTTTTTCATTTGATGATTATGAAATTTAGTAACCATGTTAACATACGTAAGACAAATAATATAAAAAAAAATAATAAATTTGTTCTGATTGTAAATTTCAAAATGGTGGCCGTTTCAAATTTTCTAACTTAAATAACTCAAAAATGGCCAATTCTATGAAAAAATGTTAAGCATTCTTTCTTTTAGCATTTTTAACTCCCTATTAAACGATACAAAGACCAAACAGATCGGACAAAGGATAACTTAAATATAACGTTTTTTGTGTAAAAATAAGGCAAAATTAGGGGTTCCCCGACTAACATTGCCATATTTTACACAAAAACGTTATATTTCAGTTATATTTTGTCCGATGTTTTTGATCTTGGTATTGTTTAATAGGGAATTAAAAATGCCAAAAAAAGTATTCTTGCCATTTTTTTATAGAATTAGCAAATATTGTGTAATTCAAGTTAAAAAATTCAAACGGCCGCCATTTTTAAATTTACGATCGGAACAACTTTATTATTTTTTATATTATGGGACTTGTGTATGTTAACATCATTACCAAATTTCAAAATCATCTAATAAAAACCCAATCGAATGGTTTTTTTATAATATTTTCCTATTTGTAGCTACTCAATGTTAAATGGTGTTTGCCGTTGGTGTTCAATAAATAAATAAATAAAAACTTTACGCATGAAAATATTTTTGTATAAAAAACAAAATGGCGGATAACTGGGTAAATATGCATTTTCGGACATACCTTCAAATGAACTTATTTCTTCCTTTTAGTATGAGGATTCATTTCCCAAAGTCCTGAAACGTTTTTATGGACACCCTGTATAAAGGTGATCAACTTTTTCAAAAATTAGTTTCACTTGAAACAACAGTTTACTTAATTAATAGTCGAGTTTATGTAACTTGACAGATTTTTAACCTGTTTTATTAAAATAACTGGTAGAATACCAATGCAATATCAACAGCATAGGCAAATAAGGTTGACATTGTATAAATACGCTGCGAAGTATAAATAAGGACAGAACGGGTGACTTGAAATGCTAGTAGCGTGCTTGTAGTAAAACAATTTGTTTGTATATGCGCTTTGTCCATGGGTAACACTTCCATAAATATTCACCATTTAATATTTTGGAACGAATAAATCACACAGCATTTTTGTAACCTATTATTGATTTATCAAGCTTATAACCGTCATGGAGTTATCTCCAAATCGTCGTATTTTTCACATATTCAATACGCTAAAGTTATTTTTGTAAATGGGTCTCTAAATATTACAGTTTATTCATTAAATAGAACTTACGAAGCTGCTTTGTAAATAAAAAAATAAAAAAATCAACTGAAGAGAATAGGATTTTGTCTGTTGTATGTTCCAATAGTTCCTATAATCACACAGTGAAGTTGCTGTTTGAATGTAGCAGATTAATCATCACTGACATAATGTTTATATGGGAATAGCAACACAACCTTAACGAAGAAAACGAATGAATACTTATAATTAAAATTATTGTTTTAATATACTTGAGTTGGAAAATATACTTGTCCAATAATTTACAATGTTGTAATTTGTACTCCGTTTTAGAGTGAGATAACATAGTGTGAGATCACAATCAACAATAACAAACCAACGAATTTGCTTCCATGTGGTGTTTGATAGTGTTTTAACGATCCTGTGTATATTATGTATCCTTTACAGAAATAAATATTATGGAATGTGAGTTCTTCAACTCTAGGGCTAAAGAGAAGTTTTAAAATATGCTTCACATAAAGTATATTATAGCTTTGACCTTTAATCTGATTAAATTAATATAATTGTTGACACATTGTTGAAAAATGTGAGTCATCATTCCTATGGACCAACCCTTAAAAACGTGCTTAATCGTGTTGTCTTCAACACAGCGTACTGTCAATAGGTTATTTTTATCCAAGGAAAACCACTTGTTTTGGAACTAAAAATAGAAAATGGGTTTCCACGATTAAAGTAATTGACCATTGACACCAAATAGCTTAATCAATATCCAATCAAATAATCAAAGACCATTACAATTCTGTCTCGAAACTTGATCTCGCTAAGATCGAGTTTCGAGTATGTTTTTTATGTTGTTAATGATTCTATGTTTTACCCTGAGTCTTTTTGGTGAACTCTTTATTGTTTTGTAGCAAAGGTTAATTTGACTGAAATACAATTCATCAATTGCACCCATCACCATAACTACCATAGCATTCTTTTAGTGTGTATAAGGGAATCAAAACTACAAGAATACAAACAAGTAAAAACATATATTGTAAAAATGTTTACATGTATTGTTTCTTAATACTGATTTTTTATTGATTGTTAGTCTACTTTAGAGCTTGTTAACACTATTGTTATTTTCATAGGTTACTTTGAATGAGATTCAACTATTCCAATAAATCTATCACTTATGACAACTAAAACTGTTCTTTGAATGGGTAGGAAGGGGAAGTCAAACTACAAGGATACAAATAAATACAAAATATATTTGTAAAAAATATGTACAAGGTGAATTGTCTTAATATGGATAGTTTAAAATTGTTTAACCGTAGTAAGGTAGTCCGTGTCCTATGCCATGACCGTAGCCGACTCCTCCATAGCCAAGTCCACCGTAGCCGAGACCTCCATAACCAAGACCTCCGTAACCGTAGGCTAGGTTGTGACCGTAGGAAGGAACCACGTAGCCTGGAAATCAAACACCATCAGTAGCAAGTATATATTGTCAAGTCTAAATAAAAAATATATATACTGCATATATCCTTGAACACAAGCAATGATATACTGTTTAAAACTTATTTATTTTGTTTTATTTTCATCAGTGAAATTCAGTCCGAAGTTTACTAATAATTCGTTGCTTTACTACTTCAAAATTGTCATCTTAATACAATGTATCGTATTTTTCTGTTAAATTTAGGATTAAAGTTTTTAAAAGATCTATGATATATAATTTCTTGTCTCAGTGATCCTCATTTTTCAATTTATAGATATACAACACTCAACAATCTATAATAACCAGAATATATGTTAAACTAAGATTAAGTCGATATACCATTTGACAGATTAGTAACCTAGATTTTTACTGATGGAGGTTTTATTCTGAAGCCGATATTTGTGGATCATTTAACGAAAAACAACATTTTTTAAAGGTGAGATAGATTCCGAAAGATACAGTAATTGTAATAAATACAAAGGATTCAACAGAGTTTTTCTGGCAGGACTATAAAGCAGAAAGCAATAATTGTTTTGCTAGCGAACACTGAATTATAACCTGAACGGATGAAGGCCAGAGAGAAAGAGATAAGTCAATTCGGACATTGGGACACTTCCCGTCGAAAGACACGGTAAAAGATCAATTAGTTAACAATGTCTTTCCTAACTCATTTGTGTACAGCTTTGTGTCAGTAACATATAACTTAATATATAATAATAATATAATAAATAATAATAATGTTACCTTCTTCCGTTCCAAATGATTATAGTTATTTACGACGCGTTTCGTCAGCACACTGACATCCTCAGGTATCCGCTATCGCTTCGTCTTGAATAACATAAAACAGTCATTGCACAATACACAAACACACATTTAATACATTTAAAGACCGGTCGTTGTTGTCGTCTAATGTCTTTAAATGTATTAAATGTGTGTTTGTGTATTGTGCAATGACTGTTTTATGTTAATATATTCAAGACGAAGCGATAGCGGATACCTGAGGATGTCACTGTGCTGACGAAACGCGTCGTAAATAACTATAATCATTTGGAACGGAAGAAGGTAACATTATTATTATTTATTAATAACTAACGTTCCAGTAGTAGGAAATGAATTCAAATATTATAATACTTTTGATGGATGATTCAATGTAGTGCGGCGACAAGGGAATTCCCTCTCTATTTTGATAGAATAAATCTGTATTTCAAAAACCTGTGATCATTTAAGTGTTTAAAAGTTTCCTATGAGTGAAATGGTATAGGAGTTCTCTATAATTTCCCACCAGGTATATAAATAGTTCTATTTCATAGGTTGGATTGTTAAGTCTTAAAAACTAGTTATTTCACTGTGAATTAATTTTTGTATTTCTTGGGCTTATTCGTACGTCTCTATACTAATAAATATACGTACATTGTACTACTTGCATCCACATAAGCGTTTGGACTCAAGTAAGCACTTAAACTGTTGGTAAGTTGATATTTTTTACTCTGAATTTTAATTGAAGTTTAATGATTAAAAATATAATGTCCGTGACTGTTTATTACTGAATTATTTTTTGATGAGTAAACAGTATGACTCACAAAAAATAATTACAATCCCTAGATTTACACTTCAAATTTGTGGCTTATCCAAATCACTTCGAAAACACAAAATCTCCACTTCACTCAATATATTATCTTTACTTTATTACTTTCTATAACACGAATACACAGACATACCTTTACCGTATCCTCCATAGCTTCCGTAGCCAAGATGGCCGATACCCCCATAACCCCCATAGCCCAGTCCAATAGGAGCAGCGACTGGAGCGATGATCTTAGGAGCTCCATAGCCCAGGTGACCGTATCCTCCATAACCACCAATACCCCCGTAGCCCAGACCATAGCCCAGACCGTACGTGTTGCTCGTCTGAAGGTCTTGTTTTTCCTCGGGGGCGGCAGCGGGGCTAGCGGGGGCGGGCTGGTCCGCGGGGGCGGCGCTTGCCAGGGCGGCGAGGGCGGTGAACGCGAATAGAACCTGGTAGGGAAAGTGTAAATTATTATGTGATGAGATTCTTTTTTTTAACTAATATACCATTTATGAACCATTCGGAAAATTAATTAATGGTTGACTGCTGATTTTGGGTTTATCACGTATATAACAAATTAGATTTTTAGGCACATTTTCTATTGTAGAAATGCTCACAATCAACTATTCGCACGCAAACACTATGTTTTACACACGGAACATTTTTTACATGTAACATGAAATTTCAAATACCAAACTGATAAAAAATAACCTACTGCCTTCTACCGAATAGGATGTAAGACTTGTCAGTGAACTAATTTTTAACTTTTATTTTAAGCAATGATTGTCATATATCTAATCTTACGTATTATAATCGACTATCAGACTTTTTTTAGGCCTAGTAATAATTGAGTTGTTGTACCACTTAGCTGGTTTCAATTTCATAGTTGTTAAATGGTTAATTTAAGCATAGTTTCTAATAAATTGTTTAAGGGGGCTTTTTAATTCATTAAAATTAAATACTTTTTTAAATATACATTTACATGGATTTTCTCGAATCTGATCAGAATATTTAGTTCATATCGGCAATGTTATCATAGATATGACCTACAAAACGTATATCTGATCTAATATGATGACTTAACTAATTATGAAAGTTTAACACATAAAGTACAGTTTAAAGTTTAGTTTGGATGATGAGTAGCTTTATAGAACATGATCCTAAAATAAATTAGTTGTTCTGTTAGATATTCCCAAGCAAATTATACATAAATATGTTTAGTATCATCTAGATGCGTTGTTACAAACCATCTCAATCCTGCTTTTCTAATTTTCTAATTTAAATTAAGTTTTTTTTATTATTGATGGGTTATTTTTTGAAGCATTGTCCTTTGACACTATCAACACTGAACTAACCTTCAAAATTGCGAAAGAATTTCATATTAAAATTGCATAATTAAGAGTATTTTAAAAAACGTAATATGAATATGATTTTATCACAAATTAAAATGTAATGTAATACACCTTAGAGAGTACTCAAAGAAATAGAAATAGAGTCTTCTATGTTTGAAACTAAGAATCAACGATTTTTTATATGATTTTTCCTAAATGCAGATCTCAAACTGAGAACAACTGCACCAATATGTTTAATTTAATTGAATACTATAAATAATATTCTTTATTCCTTCAGACAATACGAAGATTGCATAGCATGCGTCAACATATACAAAATAAAAGAAAATGGTACAATAGAACAAACTATACTCAAGCCCTTTCCTTTATTCGTTAAAGCGACCCTTTTACCTTAGTTTTTTAAAATCTCATAAATGTTAGTCGATGTAAACAAATAAGTAAAACAATCTAACTTTACAAATTACGAAAACAGTTTTTTTACAGAAAACCCAATTTTTATGAGTTAAAAATTCGAATAAACCCGTTATTGTATTAAACATAACTTATTTATCATTTAATTAGTTTAAACACTTACGTAAAGGTTAGCCATATTAATCCAGAGTGAACTACCGGTGCGAGTGTCCTATAGGGCGGCCATAGGCTGTATATATACAGTGTGTCTCAGAAGGGAACGCAAGGGCGTCATGGTCTGATGCAATCATCTGATGGTGGGGCCGATGTCATGCTCTTGAAAATTGGCCTGATGAATATCGGTCGTGGGAGAACTCATGGAGTTTTGGGTTCACGAATGTTGGAAGATCTGTAGATTGCTAAGAAATATTGATTGAGCTCTATAAAATAAATGGAAATATTCAATATACAGTGTTAGTAAAGTGTAGACCCCCCTGTTATTTTTTTAACGGCCCATACAAGAAAAACTAAACTCGGCACACAATTATGGCATGTTATGAAGTACTTTTTGGGCATAACCACCACTTGGTGTACATCCTCAAAATGGGGGATTTTGGGGGAAAGTCAAAAATTTCAAATACAAAGACTCATTGAAAGACCCCTCATTTTGAAGGTCCTGGTAAAAGAAAACTAACAACGAAAACTAGAGATCTCTATCTCAATCCAGTAAAAGATGACAGCCAATTGAAATTCTCAGAAGTTAAATTTAACTTACAGCTTTCCAAGTTTGGAGACCCCCTGTAAATTTTGTAACGGCTCACACTAGGAAAACTAAACTCCACGACACCCACCTTTTTAGCATGTTATGAAGTACTTTTTAAGCCTAATAGCCACGAACGCAAGAAAAAGTATAAATTAGGATCAAAATCACTTCACCAAGATCATTCATGAGAGGTAAAATTGGACTTTTACTTATAATCCGGATATAAGCAAGAATGTGACTATGATTTTGATTTAAGTCATATATATTTATATATATATATTTACACATATATATTTATATATATATTTACATATATATTTATATATATATTTACATATATATTTATGTCATATATATTCCATTATTTCTAAATTGCCCTATAACGTCGTAATTGCTTTCCAAAGGGGATTTTTCATATACCTAATGTTAAAAATACCTCAGCTGTATTCATTTGTATGCCATTCTTTCAATTTATTACCTTATTAAAATCAGGTGAGAAAACGTCACATCTATCTATCTATCTATCTATATCTTCTATCTATATATTAATAGGCAAGCATGTTTCTTTAAAACCTTTTTTCTCAGCTCGTGTGAATCGTAGGGAAAATCTACGCATACCGTTGGAAAGCTATTTTCCTGTAGGTGTGCAGAATCCCTTTATAAATTTAAATAGGCTCAAAGATAAGCACAAAAAATGAGTTTAAAAATTTGAAAAAATTAACATGGATCTTATGCGTTGCTATGCTGGTTACGAAATAACAACGAAATATAAACAGAAAATCAAAACAAATGGAGGAAACTCCAATCACATGTTTTATTTACAGTGTGGGGTGAAAATAGATAAGTGAGCACATTACATATTTTTGGTCGAGTTTCGACCACTGGACGACCTCTCGTCTATATATTAATAGGCAAGCATGTTTCTTTAAAACCTTTTTTCTCAGCTCGTGTGCATCGCAGGGGAAATCTACGCATACTGTTAGAAAGATATTTGCCTGTAGATGTGCAGAATCCCTCTATAAATTAAAATAGGCTAAAAAATAAGCACAAAAAACGAATTTGAAAACTTCAAAAAATTAACATGGACCAACTGGGTTGCCATGATGGTGACGAAATAACAACAAAATGTAAACAGAAAATCAAAACAAATGGAAGAAATCCCAATCACATGTTTTATTTACAGTGTGGGGAGAAAATAGAGAAGTCTGTACATTAATTATTTTTGGTCGAGTTTCGACCACAGGACGACCACTAGTACTTATTTAATACGCAAGCACATCTTTTGTGACAATTACTCCTCCGAAACTACTGAACCGATTGTCATGTTTTTGGTGTCATTGGAAAGAGCGTAGCGTGAAGTTGTGCAGGACACTTTCTTTTTAGGGAAATAATGAGAGAGTGAGGCCCTGGAGCCCTTTAAAGTTTCTTATTTCTCCATAAGATTAACATGGGAAACAAAAATTGTTATGAAACTCCAGCTGTTGTCAGAAATCAAAAGTGAGAAGAAGAGCATAGGTTAATTGTAAACAGTCAATAAGTTTGCTACAAATATTTGCTGACTTGGTTGAAGTTCGTTTTAAAATAACGCCTGTAATACTTAGCAATTGCTCGAATTCGAGCAACAGGGACACTAGTACTTATTTAATACGCAAGCAGATTTTTTGTGACAATTACTCCTCCGAAACTACTGAACCGATTGACATGTTTTTGGTGTCATTGGAAAGAGCGTAACGTGAAGTTGTGCAGGAAACTTTTTTTATAGTGAAATAATTAGAGAGTGAGGCCCTGGGGCCCTTTAAAGTTTCATATTTCTCCATAAGATTAACATGGTAAACAAACATTGTTATGAAACTCCAGCTGTTGTCAGAAATGCTGTTCTGCTATTTAATTTAATTTCTTTACAAGGAGATTTGTTTCTTGGTGCCATGTGGTCAATGAATTATACTTTTGCATATATTTTAAATGATATACACTATATAAAATTATAGTACTGTAATACATGAAGAGATATTAATTTAAATAATCAATAAGTACGATTGAGCCTTTGCCTATATGTTTCCTGGTAAGTGTGTTGTAACTGTTCCTTATAGTATATTATGGTATCTTAAAGTAAAACAAAATCATCCTTTTCAGCATTCTCACCCCGTTGCGAAGCACGGGCAGAGCAACTAGTAGTTTACTTAAAGCAATACAGTAAAATCAGATATATGTGTACTGCATAATGAAATGCTGAAATTGCCGCTGTTTTCTTTAAACGTACCCTAAACAAGTAGGAATATAATTTTCAAACAAAACCTACGCTTAAATATTTGTTATATATTTTTACAGCAGGTTTTATGGCTAATCTCTTGTTATTAAATTCCTTAACATTTAGTTTCCTTCAAAATTTTAAATTGGTTTGATAATAAACCAGAAGGAAAACTAGGTTTGTGTTTTGGGAATATTTAATTTGCCAAACACAATTTACGTCAAGGTCGAATGACTTTATTGTTAACGATAACACCATTGTTTGATAAGATATTTCCTTGAATTTCCTATGTTAATTACAATATTTAGGTTTTCAGTTTACCTACAATCAGTTTATTGTTGTCTAGTTTCAACCTTGTCTTGATGACGTCACAGATAGCTGCATTGTTAGAGGTTGAAGTCAATGACTGATAAAGCTTTTAGTAAGTTTAACTCATGCGTGTACTGATATTTAAGACATTATTTTGTTTGTTAAAATAGAAAAAAATAGCTCTTCTAGTTGCTTGGATATAACTTGGATATTACTTGACGTGTGGTTTGTAGTGAATATAGAATTAATCAAATCAAACCTGCTTTATTAGGCTGAGAAATGGTAATTGAAACAATTCAATGTCTTTTTAAACGTGTACCTATATAATGTCCAAAAGTGCTTGACTTCTTTGAACTATTTCCCTCTTAATCACAATAACGAATTGTGTACGAACATTATTGTTTCCTTTATTTAGCCTCCTCTCTTCATTTATTCAACAACTACAACTCTTCATTTATAGTCCAAGCAAACTAAAGAAAAACATACACTGGAGTCGTAAAAAAAATTGCAAGAAAGCGTTTTATAGTTTTATTTTGTGGGTTGGGTGTGCAGAGTGACATAATAAAAGTTGCCAAAAATCGGTCCATAGGAAAGCCCCTAAAATCACGGGGGAAATAGCGGCTTTTCTCAACATTGGACAAATTTTGAAAGAAAAAGTTACTACATTCAGGTCTATGCACAATTTTCGAGAAATTGACTTGGAACCACCACCTATATTTATTAGGTTGGTAGTACTTCATTTCGATAGGGAACGCGTTTTAAGCTGCCATCTTAGATCCGCCATATTGGATATATATAACACTACTTTTTTAATGTATTAAATGATAGTGTTGTGACAGATAATTATAATCTAGATTTTCACGCTGATATCAATGCAGAAATCAGTTTTTTTCAATTTTTTTCGTTTTAAAGATACATTTAAACGAAAACTCTAAATAAATATGGACGTTTCGTACTTTGAAAATGTTTAAGATTATTTTTCTTATATCTCCAGTTCTAAAAAGTTAAATTTTATACGTTGGGGTTCGTAGCTCGTCTCTAACTCGTCCAATTTTAATGATCAGTAGCTCAAATGAAAGCCTTACATCACTGAATATATTAAGGCTATAACGAACTGCAAGGCTAGTACGAACTGAAGATATAAGAAAAATAATCTAAAAAAAATCCAAAGAATAAAACGTTCATAAGAAATGTATAGGAGAGAGTTTGCCTTTGAATATATCATTAAAACGTGAAAATATATTTAAACCCCAATTTTGGCATTGAAATTAGCTTGACAATCTAAATTATGCGTCACTACACTATTATTACATTTAAAAAGCTTTCTATATATATACATCCAATATGGCGGATCCAAGATGGTGGCCAAAAGCGCATTCCCTAACGAAAGGAAGCACTCACCACCCAATAAATATCGGCAAAGCCACAGTCACAGATGTGGCTGTGATGTCACTCTTCACACCCAACACTACAAAATTAAACAAAAAAACGTGTTATTGCAATTCTTTAAAGGTCATATCCTACATTTGTCTGGGTATTAGTAGGAAAAACCATCGTAAAGTATATATTTTATTCCAATTTGTAAAGTTTTTGCTATTTTTAAAATAATCCAGTACATATGCCACCATCATAGATAGTGTGCTGGTTTATTTAAACTTATAATATATTTTTATGGAAACAAAAATATGCATTTTATAGTAACACACTCCTGGAGAACTTTTCAACGATGTTTCCTTTCTGTAAGCAAACTGGCTACACCTGGTGCAGGTGGGACGTCAACATAAATATCCAAATTGAATGGTTAAAGGAAGTAAACACCAAACTGAAATTACAGTACAAAATAACGTTTATTACACCCTTCTATTCTAATATGTATCCAAAGTGAGTTATTCTGAAGTAGCCATGATTCGTACATCATCGCCAGTAGCTGTCGTAGGAGTAGTAGGAATACCAGTCGTCGTTTGAATGCTTGTGCGGTCCTAGAACATGGAAAATACAATAATCATTGTTCTCTAAGTTGAATAGTTATTAAAGAATATAAATAAATGGTATAAGCAATCTGACATATACTTACTCTTATTCGCGAGTAACTATGATATTTGTAGGGAATATAACAAAAGCTCCAATAGCTTTTCAACCATATTTTTAACAGTAATGTGAGGTTACACTATTTTGTTTAGAACTACAGTCTAAGGATCATAACATACTAATTTAAATGAAAACACGCTTCTTTTCAAAAATCCGATTTTCCCTTTATTTTATTGTTTTTTTTTTATTGGAAATAACATAAGTTTTAATAACACAGGAATTGGAGTTGTAGCATTTTGTCCAGAATTTAAAGGATTATAGCATACTCAATTTCTTACTTAACTGTTCTGACCGTTTCTGAGGAAGTAGATTTTTCGTAATTTTATGTTTTTTTATAGTAAAATCACCATTACAAATCATTATTTAAAAAAAAATTGAAAAAAAAACACCCGGAGGTACCATGGATTAGTACCTAGGTACATACCAAATTTCATCAAAATCGGACTAAAGATGCGGTATGTAGCTCTCTACACATCATACATACAGACAGACACACGCACGGACAAAAATCACTTCGAAAACCATTTTTCTGGGTTCAGAGGGGCCCAAAACGGATATACCCACTCAAAACTCGAAATCGAAAATCTTGACGAAAACAATACTTTCCCCTTATTACTATGTATAGGGGGAGAAAGTAAAACACTATTATTAGCAATTATTACTAAGAATTTGTCCAGAGTGAACTTAAATCATATAAATTCAATTAAAACATTTCTATGTAGCACGTACAGTACAAAAATACATACACAATTTCCTCCTAACAATGACACGAATTTTTATCAGAAAAGGCTTTTCAAATACACACACACCTCAATGTTAGGCAGGGTTGGAGAAATTGTTACCACCACTACACATTCTTTGACTATTTATTTGGCATTTATCGTACTCAGCATATCAGTTGGGTGAAATAAGCCTATCCGTGTAGGGGAGAGGGGGGGGATATTTAAAACTATATTATCGCCAGTGGTATTACCAAATTTAAAATTTGATAACCTTCACAGTTTTCTATTGTTAACAAAAATTTTTTGATATCTTCTTTTTAAACTCATTTAGCGTTTAGCTTTCCTTGATTCGTTATTCATCCCACGTTTAACTACCAGCCAATAGTTCAACATAGCAATTAATACCAGGAAACCTTCCTTATCATGTAGATGGTCATAGCCATGGCATCCCCCTGCAAAGAGGTTTAAGTGGCTTAGCAGCCTCAAGGTTAACGACAGACTTATTTTACTATCAAGATCCATTAGGGCGACATTTAAATTCCTACTTCATATTGGGGCTCAAATAAAGGGGAACCGGAGTTTTGCCAACGGTTGTCAGGTAGATGGGGGGATGCCTTCGGCCACCTCTTGGTGCGGAGATTTGCCAACGGTGGTGGTGAGAGAAAGAGTGTGACGGAGGGAGGGAGAGCGATTGTCAGGGTTGTCTACGCTTGGCAGTTATGCGCTTGTCGCAGTGGGTTAGGTTAGGTTAGGTTGGTTAGGTTAGGTTAAGTTAGGTTAGGTTAGGTTAGGTTAGGTTAAAAATTCAATACATTTCCTTTCACAGTCAGAGGTGCATAACTCCATTACTTTGAACACAGTCAGCATCCTGTCTGGTTTGTCCACCCCTAGCGGAAGCCACCCTCACGGTCACGTGTAATCTCTCTCTCTCCCCCTTCCCGCTCTCGCTCAACCCACAACCGTTGGCAAAACTCCGCAGTATGTGGAATTCATGGATGGGGACCCTTTCTACCTGATACCCGTTGGCAAAACTCCTACACTCCAAATAAAGTTCTTAATTTTTTGTCATTCCTCATTGATAAAAATATGTTTCTATAAATTGCTCAGCAAATCAATTGAAAACTCCCTCAATCAGCAGGTTTTCAGTTACGGAAGTATTTTGGTATTCAAGGAAGTATTACGGAAGTATATTCAATTGTTGTGTCTTCATGTAGTTAGTTCCAGCGAAACAGCTTATTTAAATATATAATCTTACCTCAGTTAGATACAACAGCTCCGGTCGAATGCGGTTTATAAACAAGCAAAGTTTTATAATCTAAATTATAGCTGAGATTGAATTGTTTAAATTCAGTAGGAGTGTCTAGGAATGTTTCTCTGCTCGTATCTTTACACACATCTTTACTCAATTACTCCTTTTTCTGCAATATGCCAAATGTGTATCACAAAACGGTTTATTTATGATTTTTCATATCATTAACTAGGCTTATATATCTATTGGTGATCACATTTCCTTATGACAATCCTCATTCCTATAGTACTTCTTATTCACCCCCTGGCCCCTACTTTGTCAGGGTGGAATTATTTTGTATTTCTAATGTATTTTTTTTAAGAATGTAGTAATATGTTAAATACCTGTAGTACGGTCGGTGATCCGGGTTTTAGTCCACAACCAAGGTTTCGAACCTAAAGGTTCATTTTAGCGAATTTCCCTATAGGGAAGTAGCTATTACCGTAGGTGGCACGGTAAGACCTAGACCCGGGACCGATTTACTTTTTCATTTTGATGTCCCCAGAGGCCAAAAACACCATTCGTTCAAATTTTTATATATGTATATATATATATATATAGACATATATATATATATATATATATATAGACATATATATATATATATATATATATATATATATATATATATATATATATATATATATATATATATATATATATATATATATATATATATATATATATACGTCCGTGAACGCGATAACTTGAGTAATTTTTGTCCGATTTTGATGAAATTTGGTTTAAAGGTGTAAAGCGGGATAAACTTGAATGAGTTCGCGAACCAGCACGATCGGACCATGGGAACGGGGCTTTACGGGGGGATTTATGGGGTAAAAATTGGTTTTTCTCACTTTTGACCCTCAAAACACAAAATTTCCCGATTTCTCTTTAGACCTTTTTAAAGAGCTTAAAAAAACAAATAATTTAGTATATAAAAGTATTTTTGTTCGATTATTAGTAACGGAGAAAATTAAAAAAATTGTAAATTTAAAATTCCCATGTTATTCTTATGGAGAATATTGTCAAATGTTGTAGTTTGCTTGTTTATGGATATATTTTGATCAAACTTGGCAAATTTATTTATTTTGTACTAAGCTATCAATATTTAACTCAAAAACACACTTATTAGTTTCCTTGTAGCAGCAAACCTAGGTACTCGTTAAACCTAATGTTATTAAAATATATTTAACTGAAAATCAATTCAGACAAATGGAAATTCGCTTAGTCGGCAGGTTTGCTGCGGCGGGGGTATTTTAAGCAGTCACCAAGTTAACAAAATCGTCTTCATCACTGGGGTTGAGAAGAGTTGTTAAATAGACATAACACTTACACGAACATGAAAAACATAAACAAAATTTGGCCAAATTATAATATTGATACGGTCGCGTGGTGTGGCAGACAGAAGAAGGAGTCATTTTCGCGTAAGTGTTAAGTGTATTAAACGATTCTTCACAACCTCAGTGATGAAGAAGATTTTCTTAACATAGTGACTGCTTGAAAATGAATGTTTAAATTCGAAAGCTTGGTCGCTGACTTAAACCCGGATCCCCGACAGCACTACAGGTATTTAACCTTTTATTCGTAAACGTGATCCAAAGGCCAAATATGTCGGATTAAGGTTAAATACAGTATTAGAAGATGTTCTAACAAACTATTTTATGTATAATCTTTTTCTCAATTTTGTTAGCTTCTTGTTGATGCCTTTATTTTGCTGATACCACTTGAGACAGTTGATTCAGTATAAAGTGTGAAAATGGTATTTTTTACATATTAACCTTTGTTCCAATAATAAGATTTACTACGAATTGAGCTAAGACTAGTATACTATGTACAGTACTATTGTACTTTGTTGTACTATTGTTTGAAATTGTATTTGAATCCCATCAAAAGACGTAGAGAAACCAGTATAAAATACGTGATAAGTTTATATCCCTACAGCTAGACATACGACCTGATTCAAATAAACTGGACCAACAAGTTCAGATTATAAAGGCAGTCTCGTATTAATTACACAAATTAGTGTTGACATGACAGGGGATAAAGTTTATTTACAGAAAAAAGGAATTCAAATTACACAAATAATTACAGCTCTACATAAAATAAACAGACTCTAGAATGACTTTAGTTAATCAATCCGCACACAACAGCAACAACAACAAATCATTGTTATCATGTTTAATAGCTACTCTGTTGTTGCATCTTGTTGGTTTGTATTGTTGTATTGTTTATTTTTAAGTATTATGTAAATTGAGCACAACAGTGGCTTTGTATTTCTTTCTAAAATTGATTGTCCATAAATAAATAAAAATAAAAATATAAAGTAATTGTAATTTTAAAATTGCCTTGATAATTCTATATATTAAACTAATTAAAACAGCAACATAAGAATGATCACAATATGGTAAGTAGTAAATTAGTAAAGTTTGTCAGGTCAAGCAGTAATAATACTTTTGCAATCTAGAACGCGACATGGGTGCTACACTTTTTCTAAAATGTTAATAAGGACAAGAAACTATTTATGAGTACAGTTCATCTACTCAGCCAACGCCTGTATGCATGTTCTAAGTTCAATAAATAAATAAATATTTAAAATACCATAACAATCAAAACATGTACATACTCGACATTTCTGAAGCAAGTTAGTGTCCTCTTTATCTGGCATTTGCCCGTTCACATGGGTCACAGAAGCCCATGGGTACGTGGAAAGTATACAGCAAGCAAGGAGATTTCAAACAGTATTAATTACACAGGCTCAACAGTTTGCCTCAATTATACTGTGTGATTAATATAAGCGCAGCATAACTATTTACTTATAAGAAAGCAAATGCTGGCGGTTTAACAACGTTTTGTTTCCTATCAGATAATTGAGTATGGGAGGGATTGAAACCACATTTTGTTATGATCGTTATTGTCCGTAATAGTAGTTTACGCATTAATTGCGCAAAGATAGTGTTAACGACACGAGCATTGGCCTTAAAAACTTCTACGAGTGTCGTTAAGACTACGAGAGTTGCGTACACGGCTTTACCTACGACAGTGTTTTAATTACTAAAAATCACTACTCATAACTTCTAAGAGAGGTTATGTTTTCGTTTATAACCTGCCATTGCCACTGACAGTGATGCAACGAAACATTGTACCTGCATGTCCTATTTTCCTATTTATATTACCGGTTATAACATATTATTTTATATTTTCAACTGACTTTCTGCTGTATTTGTGCTGCATACCTTGTACAGTAGTGCGTGTGTCAATAAGGTTCCTTATTAATTTTACTTGAAGGCATTTTCCTCACCAACATTAGTAGGAATAATCCTTTCTCGCATTCAACCACTTTTTTCCATTGCTATAATGACAAAAAATATAAATTTCCGTAAGTTCTAAGTCTAATTTCTAGTTAAGTATGCACAATAGTTTTTTTTTCAATCAATCTTTGCTTGATATAATTGTAAATCCTTTCTTCCTACGCTGTATTCGAGACCATGCTAAGTTAAATGCTAGATTTTATCAATAATATTTAAGATTCAGGAAGTTCCAAGGAAGCACTTGTACAAAATAGACATATTTGTATATTTTGTGTAAGATAAACATGTTGGTCAAATGGTTGAATCACAGAAGTTTGTAGGTGTAGAAGTGTTTCACCAGTAGCTGTAGTAAGATGAGTACCAGTCGTCCCAGTAACTGTAGGGGTAGCCTGGAAAATCCACCATACGAAGTTCAGAGGTTGTAACATCTCCTTGGTCATCTGTTCATCCTTCATGCAGTATATCATGCGATCTTGAGCCCTCCATAGCGATTAAAAAAGTCATGCGATTGCAAAACATTCCACTATAGTTCGGCCGCTTCGAAAGCGACCTCCTCCAGCATTGGTTTAGTATTAACGCGCAGGTCGTTTTCTAAGCGGCCGAACTATAATCATGCACTTTGTATTTCTTCTTCAGACAACTTCATCTTAGACGTTTAACTCAAGCTTTTCGATCAAGACATTGGTCTGTTCATGCAGTTCAAAATTCTCAGCTCATTTTAAACTACTGTTCTCTACTTTGTTTCTAGCTTGATTCTGTCATGTCATTGATCTAAAATTTCCGAACGTCTAATCATGGAAATCTAAATTCTTTGTTTAAATGGGAACATTGAAGCCATCTCCACTTTCTACTCTATTTGTCTACTATTTTACATTACCTTATCTAAATATCAAACAATTTCTACACCAAACCATTGACCATACCCATGCAAAACAAATAAAGATTTAGGGTAATTTTGCATAACCCCTGCACTTTTCAATCATGCTCGTCAATTTGAATACCTTTACGTCTTCAAGCCCTCCTTGTTTTAACCACTTGTGATACTAGACAATCAGATAAACTCTCAAAGGCTTGATGTGTCTTTCAAAAATATATTTGATTTGAGAAAAATTGTGTCATTCAAAGTATGACGTAGAGCTAGGAAGGAGTGCATGCAAATAGGAAATGTCAAGTCATGAATCAACGCTAAACTCAGAAGAATATTCATGATGGGTCACTGATTGAGGTTTGTCCGAGTCTGAAAGAGGAATTCCAAGTTGAAGGCTTAACAAAGCATCAACAACTACCAAGGTTGGACCAACCTAGAGTCAACAGAGACAGAGACAGGAGCGAGATGTCATCGAACCCTGCTCACTTCATTAGCGGATTTGGGCTGAAGTGTAGCCATAGGAAATTAGTTCTCTCAATGTTAGACCTTTGGCAGCTAGTTACACATGAATTTCATTACAATTTAGTGAGATAAATTATTTTATGTAGTTTCCAGTGGAAGCTATCGACATGTGGTGTAAACATTTTGGTTGCATATCTAAATCGTTACGTAACCACAGTTATTGTGAATTTTAGATCGTACAAATAGATCTATAGATCGTAGCAAATAGTCATCCCAACTAACCAAATTGCTTTACCATGTGCATCCAAAGCAAACAAAGAGTATTTTATTCGTAACCATTTAACAACTTTTTAGAAGGGTTCGATTAAGACCTCTTGATATAAGTTAGATATGTTGTCAACAGTTTAGTTGCTGTCTCATGGATTAGCTGTTATTTGATAATAACGATACGGTGGTGTAAAAAAGCAGATCCGCATTTAAGTACAAATAAAATCACAGCAATACATTGTGATCCATAGCGAGTTCTGTTTTTGTTTAAATACATTTCTTTAACCGGCAGCTTTATGAATTGTGTTATTTCGCATTTGACACATGCATCCATTATATTATTTATTCCTTGTAACAACAGTTTTGTCGGAGCCTTGTCCATATTTTATTAAATTTAGACCGAGGTACACGCTTAATAATACGTTTCTTTACACAATAGTGCTTAGGCACAATTTTAAGGAGGTTTTCACGACGAGTTTGTATCCAGAAATTGCTTGAGGATGTATGTAAACATGCAAATAAATCTAAGTGCTTATGTGTTTATGTTATCCAAAAGTTTATGTCCAAGATTCTGTGCTTACAAAAAGAACATTATGTTGTTAAACAACAAATTTTGGTTTGGGTACTTATGTTGACACCATAACCCTAAACTAAAAAAGCATTCCTATAACCAACTAACAAGTGCTAAAGCTGTCATAATTATTTGTGATACTTACTATAACTACTGTAGTATCTGTAAGGTCTGTAGTAGTTCGAGTAGCGGGGATAGTAGTAGGAAGAGTAAGCTAGAGGATATCCGTATCCGTATCCGTAGTATCCTAATCCGAAAGTTTCTGAGCCTTCGAGATCCTTAGCCTCTTTGGAGTGAGGGGCGCCAGCGGCCCGGGCTTCTGCGGGGGTGCCAATAGGAGCGCCACCAGGTGCGCCACCAAGAGCAGCCCTAGGAGCCCCACCAGGTCCAGCGGGCACGGGACCAGGAAACGCGTAGCTATCGGCTACCAACAACGTTATTGCCACTGAGGCTAAAACCTGGAAATAAACGTTTCATGAGTAACTATTTTGGTATCCTTATTAGGCAAATAGCCCATAGTATTCTAGCCATGACACTTTATTAAACGTACCTATCCATAATTCAGTATAGATCTTGATACAAAGGCATCCCTCTAAAAGAAAAAAAATAATCTTGTACCGGTACTGTCTAAATTTATTCTAAATTTTACATGGTACCTTAACCCAAAATAAGCTTACGGAAACTCTACATTAAACAAGCATTTTAAGATATGAGAACCAATTCAAAGTATTCTCCTAAGGATTGAAATACATGAATCTGAAAATAATAATATCTAAATACTCTCTTAACGTTGCGATTAACTTCTGCAAGAAACGAGTTTTGGCCCTAAACATTTTTTACAACAAACAAATACACCTAAAGAGTAGATTTGAAAATTGTGTTAGCATAAAAAAAAACTCACTATATTGTATACATTTTTTTGTAGTTTTTTTTTAATTTTTTTGTTAAAAAATTGCCAAACAAGATACTTTTTTTGTAACTTTGTTTTTAGTGTGGCCACAATACATTTTTGGTAATATTTGTATTTTTAAACTTCTTTATTTTGAGAACATTTAACAGAAACCAAACTAGTAAAACTCACCATCGAGGGTAATCCTGCCATCGTTAGTCCCAATGTACTGTCACAGCACTGATAACAGAAGTGTTAGTAGCGTCGCGGCGTCGACGACTTATAACTACCGAAGACAGCCGGAAATGACCGAAGGTCTCCACGGTCGGATCGTCTACCGTACTTGACATGTTGTCGCTAATTAGACGATTGAATGTCTACGAAACTATCCAGAATGACAACAAGGATACGGTGGCTGGGTTTCCCACAGGAATAGGGAGCCAGGCTTCTGGACGCTGCGACGGCGAGGTGCGAAGCTGTAAGTGTTGAGTGTAGCGTGTATCACAGTGTATGTTGGTATATTTATTTTATCTCGGGGTGTGTAGACTTACACAGTGCGCTGATAGTTCTCGTTTGGTCGGGAGGAGATATTGTAATATAAAGTAGGCCTATAATAAACGTGTTTTGACTTACAAGATGTAAGTACTCGTTTTCACTGTGTGTTTTGGAATTTCGAAATGGAATGAGAGTAGTCCATTCGGGGTGTTATCAAAGTCAAAGTGCTCTTGTCTTATTATACGTGAGCCAATTCTCTTTGGGTACAACAAAGAGAACACAATGCACTTACACAATGATATAACAGTTTATATAGTGGTCCGAAGTCTAAGAAGGTTTGCCTATCTTCCTGTCTTGGTCTACTGATAAGAGTAAGATATTGTTTGGTGAGATAATTTCTCATTGAGTACCCAAATTTTACACTGTTGAATCAGAGTATCATAGTTACATTTTGTCTGCTTTAGATGAACAGGAATTTACTATGATTGTTTCTCTCTCGATGTTTCAAAATGATTTGATATTATAGTAATTAGAGGAACAAAGGAGTAGGCCAGACATTAAGGACTCTCAAGAACTTAGGAATCAGTATTGTACCAAAGATTTGATAGTTTTGACCGATATATACAACCACTGATGCATTGTAACGGCTTGAGACTCTCAGTAGTAAAATACATGGTTTTCACTGCATTACTTGTACCATAGACGTGGTGTTTATTTATTCTATGCTTGTCTTGTACTAGCGAACAGATGAAGACTGAGATGGTGGGTCACGATTGTGCTAAAACACATCTTTGTGATAAATTATAATTTGAGCACCTTCCAGTGTTGATTATACTTAGGACGGAATTCTTTTAATTAAAAAAAATTTTAAAATTAAGTCGTAATTTTTTCCTGTGATAATTTTTTTGGATTTTGCTCTGATCAATTATTTTGGTAGAACATTATTAAAAGTATTTACGACTACTTTTAATATTCAAGGAAATATATATACGTGAATTTTGTACAATTCACCTGCTTAAACATACGACCAATGTTTGCGGGTTGTCTTGATAGAAATTATGTTTCTTCCAGATTAACTGATAAAAAACACTGAACCACAGTCTTCAGCCAATCTCTATGGTGCCCGGCAGGTCTCTGCTAACATATAGAATATTTCATAAAGTAGGTCGATAAGCTTGAGCTCGGACCGAAAAGAGCCACTTTGAGCCCTAGTTACGAAATAAAGTATTTATCCTCCATAATTATTTCTGTATTAAATGTAGAAATAATTCTGTATCTTCGAGAACAAATTGAGGAATGTATTTCAGGAAGAACATCTAATGAAAACGGTAATTATTGGTTAGGCAAATGTTAATATAAGAAATCTAATAGCATTACAATCAAAATACTAATCACAATTAACACACGAAACCCCACAATGGATAGTATCTGTGTCAGTGACCGAAGGAACGCCAGATCCTCCGACCGGAACCCAGAAGGTGACCTTGAGTAATACAGTAGTACGTTTTATCTGTGTGACTGTGACACTATGCAGCACCTTCGTCAGTAATTAGTACAAAGCTTCGGGAACTCCACATATAACTCATCACATAACCTGTCAACAACTCACTAACGTGTAAACATTACTCACAGAACGTATCACAAGCGGCTCTTGTGACGTAGTAAGACGTGAGTTGGATACTTAGCGAGAAGCGAGTTGTATTTGAGTGACTTTTTTAATTACTATTTCATTAAGGGTGCTTATTTTTTTATGATTATGTACTATACTATACAACTGCTGCTATGCTGTTGCTGTATGTTGGCAACAGTTATTTGGGCTACTAGTAATGTGTCGTGTTGGATACAGATTGCAGAGAATTTTCAGAAGAAGCTCGTTGAAATGTTAGCACTATTAGTGGAGGAAACATTTTTACTCCGATCAACTTTCCTTATTTGTTCATTTATTTGAAATCTGGCTCTCCATTTTTATAGGAAAAGGAAACAGAATATTTTTGTGACAATTAACTAGTTCAGTACATTAGTAGTGAAAAATAATGCATTTCTATATACAGGGTTAATAAAAAGACTAGGGACTACCTGTAAATTTTCTAACGACCCATACTAGAAAAACTAAACTCTGCACACCTTTATGGCATGTTATAAACTACACTTGGGCTTAACCGCCACTTCATGTACATCCCCAAAATGGGGGATTTCGGGGGAAACTCTAAAATTTCAAATGGTAGGACCCATCAGACATAGCAGTCAATTGAAATATTTAGTAATTAGAATTTTGACTTCTTAAGGATTTCAATTGACTGCCATATTTTACTGTGTTAAGATAGATACCCCTAATTTGCGTTGTTAGTTTTATTTTACCACGACCTTCAAAATGAGGGTCACTCGATGCGTCTTACCATTTGAAATTTTAGAGTTTTCCCCGAAATCCCCCATTTTTTGGATGTACGCGAAGTAGTGGTTATGCCCAAAAATAGTTCATAACATGCCATAAAGGTCTGCAGAGTATAGTGTTTCTAGTATGGGCAGTTAAAAAATTTACAGGGGCCTCCAGACTTTTTATTAACCCTGTATAAACAGGAGAACTAAATATAGCAACTCAATAAACTCTATGCGACATAAGGATAAATATCTAAACAATGAAATCCATATAACAAAAATAAATACCCCCGCCGCAAAAAACCTGCAGACAAAGCGAATTTCCATTTGCCTGAATTGATATACAATTAAATCTATTTAAATAACATTAGGTTAAACGAGTACCTATTTTTGCTGCTAAAGGAAGGATAATAAAGTGTGTTTTTTTAAGTAAAATCTTTGACTATTAATACAACCAATATCCAATACAACTTCAGTAAACAATAGTCAATGGTAAAATATTATCTCAGTATAAAATAAATAAATTTGATCAAAACATATCCATAAACAAGCAAACTACATTTTACAATATTCTCCATAAGAATAACATGGAATTTTAAATTTACTATTTTTTGAATTTTCTCCGTAACCAATAACCGTACAAAAACACTTCAATGTACTAAATTATTTGCCTTTTTAGCAACAGCAAGTAGGCTATGCTAACGATAATAATATTAACCATTGCACACCCTAACATCAACAACAACAGACCACAGACATTGTCAATGAAATACTTGAAGAGGAACCCATCATATCCATATCCAACAATACCACCATTTAATAAAATACACAACAAAGAAGTAACACGACCAGAATTGAAATAAAACAATTAGTCGCCGTTGATTCATTCCACCATAAATCCTAGGCCAAGTGAGTTGTCAGCTGATCGTGTTGTTGTAAATGCCGAGGTCTTCGCCACCACGACAGCTGGACAGCTGGTTGTTCTACCGATCAGCTGTTATATCCAACAAACAGATGTAATTACACTACCTTGCAGCTACCACGTGTAAAATGTCTCGCCAAGTGCTCTGATCCTTCAATTACCCTGTGAAGTCGTGCACGATTTGACGTAGTTTGAATGGTAATTCATGAGATCTCTTTGGTGAAAGAACATTGTTGTGCTTTTCCTTCAACTTTTATGAGTGAAGTACTGAAGATTGCATAGTTGGAGTGGTTTGGACGTTTTTGCTCTGTACTTGTCGATTCGTCTGTATGTCTATTAATTTTGCTTATCTTTTTCTTATAGGTTAAACCGTTAACGTAATACGTTTATAGTGAATTTATCATAGTGAATTTGTAATCCGCATTTTGATCGGTGTCAAAAATCTTAAAAATTTCCATTATATATTTAATATAAGTAAATCTTCGTGGATTAGATATCAAGAATGACGTTCAACATTTACTTTCCAATCCCTGAAATTATTGAAATACTAAAAGCGTGATTTTTTTGTATGCGTTTGCCTCCAAATTACGAACCAATAATTTATCTTTCACTTCTAAAATCTATAAAGAGTACTAGCTGACCCGGCGAACTTCGTATCGCCTAAGTTATAGGTTTCCCCTAAGACAGACCGATGGAAAGAAAGTACCGTTACGTTTAATTTTCAAGATGATCTCGTTCGCATCGCTCAATCACGTCCTGGTTGAAGTTCGTTCGCTACGCTCACTCACCTTTGGGTTGGAGCTCGTTCGCTGCGCTCACTTGCCTTTAGGTTGGAGCTCGTTCGCTACGCTAACTCGCCTCCAGGTTAGCTCGTTCGCTACGCTCACTCGCCTCTCGCTCAATCACGTCCTGGTTGAAGTTCGTTCGCTACGCTCACTCACCTTTGGGTTGGAGCTCGTTCGCTGCGCTCACTTGCCTTTAGGTTGGAGCTCGTTCGCTACGCTAACTCGCCTCCAGGTTAACTCGTTCGCTACGCTCACTCGCCTCCAGGTTGAAGTTCGTTCGCTACGCTCACTCACCTTTTGGTTGCAAATTAGCTGTTGTCATAAATGTAAAAGAAATAATAGTGCTGCACCCTGTTGGTAATCCTTGTAACTTTAATGCTATTGAACATCATAGAACAGAACCAACTTGTTTAATTGAAACAGCTGTTAAGATTCATTAATTCCATTTCTCATAAGGTTAACATGGGAAACTCCAGAGCCACTGGGGCGGAGCCCTTTTAAGAATTTCGAAACGGGAAATAGTTTACTTCCTATTCGCATACCTACAGAATTTACACACCAAATTTCATAACGATCAGTGAAGTCGTTCCGGAGGAGTTTGCAGACAAACACTGTGACACGAGAATTTTATATATTAGATAAAGAGGCAAAGAGTTGTTCAGGTGAGCACAGCATAAGTCAGTCTACAGTC